CCCACCCGGGCCAGACCCCGCCCGCTGACATGCTATCTCCCTCTGGAACCAAGGCCGCCCGCGACCAAAGCCGACTTAACGGAAAACACTCTGCTCCGATTACGTCCTGCGGGTCGGTCTTAGTGCTTTATTGTCTTCCCCACCAGAAGCCACACGATGGGCTGTCACGCTCCTGCCCTGACGGGGTCTCACTAGTAACACTGCTCAGCACTGAAACCTTTAAGAACAGCGTTTTCCGTCTCACTCGTTGAACACTCACGCGGATTCAAGGTGCCGCCCTATGAAACCCATCACGCACGGGGGCTCGGCGGGAAGGGGTGGGTTACGCTCCTGGCTTCAGGTCCTGCTTTTGCCACTTACTCGTTTTAGAGGCTCTGAGCGTGGGTTTTGTCACCTGTGAAGCAGGACCAGTGCTATCTTCTGGAAAGGGTGTTTCACGGGTTTGCACGACGTTCGTGAAGAGAGCGGGACACGGCGAGACGGGAGGCCTGGGAGCCGAACTCCCTGGGTCACGCCCCAGCCACCTGCCGGCTGAAAACTGCATTCCGGCAGCCTCTCTGTGCTTATTTTCCCATCTGCAGACGGGTGTCGGGGTACCTACCTCGTAGGTTCGTTGTGAGGATTAATAAGCTAATATATAAAACTCTGAGAACAATGGTTGGCCCGAAAGAAATATCACCAAAGTATCGGCTGTTTCTGACACCGTCACCGTTACGGGCTTGGGCCAGCTAAGCCCGACAAACGCTGTCTTTGCCAAAACGTAGGCTGATGCCTCTCACCCAGAGACGCTTGGGCGAACCCTTCAGAAGTGTTCGCCCTCATCTTTCTTAGCCAAAAGCTATGCTTTTACATCCTACAAATCTATTTGCACGCTGGATGCGTGGTGGTGTGAGGCGCTGAGGGCGCCGTGCACCCCGCGTCCTCTGTGTGACGGCAGGGCGTTCCAGCCTAATGGTTTTCATCTTAAAAAGCAATGACGGGCCTTCTGCTTCATCGATGCTTGGTGACTCGAAGCGTGTTCGTGTTCTGTGCGGGCTGGTTAGGGGTGCCAGCTGAACGAGGAGCATTCTCCGTGATGGCCTCTGACCCGAGGAGGCAGAATTAACCTCTCTCTCAACTCCTAAGCCCCTGGGGCCGGCTCTGCTGCTCCTTCCCACTCTCGACTCACGTCACAGCCTCCACGACACGTCGTCACGCAGGCACTGTGACGCACACGCTTGCAACTCGCTGCTCAGAGTCTGCACTCCCTGCTGGGCTGGAAGCTCACAGCCACGACAGCTGTGTCTGCCTTGGTCACAGCACCAGCACTGGAGAATGAATGAATGGATGAATGGATGAATTGACGAATGAATGAATGGATGGATGGATGGATGGATGGATGACGGATGGATGAATGAACGAACGAACGAACCTTCATATGAAGGAGTTAGTTTTGCAGATCCTGAGAGGTGGGTTCTATTTAGTTCGCATAAAAGAGGGAGCAGGAAAGAGCGAGAAGAACTCGAGGAAGTCAGTGGTCAGTAAAGAAAGGTACACTCGACTCAAAGAAACTACGTAAGGAGAATGTAAGTCACGCAGCGGCGGGGACCGCCAGCTCCCTCCAGAACTGATGGGCACGGCATGGGAGTCGTCTGCACTGCTCCCACGGGAGGTGACAAGCCGCTGTCCAGCAGGACGGGCTTCGTCTCCTCATGATGTCACCTCTAGTACTTAAGTCTAAGAGAACCTGAGATGAGAAGGAAGCTGGGTCCTTTATAAGAATGAAAACCAGTGGATCGGTTGTCCTAAGGCAGGGGTAGCAGGCACACGGACAGGCAGCAGCCCAGGCCAGCAACCTGCACCTCGCGCATGAAAACCATGCACATCTGCTCTGACGGCTCGTCGCCGGATGACGATGCTTTAAAAACGGATTTTAAAAACTGGACAGTTATGAAGACTATTCAGAATATGATAATTGCTTTCATTTAATTTTAAAGGAAAAAGATCACGAGAAAACACTATCTAAACATTCCCACAATATATCAGAAATACAACAACAAAAAAAATCTGTTTTAGTGTTTTGGAGAGCAGGTTAAGTGTTTATTTGCCTCAAAATGAAAACGGCACACCTCTCAGAGCAGCAGATCAGATTTAGATTCAGGCTTCGCCACTGAGCCTGGGACCTGGGACAGATTAGCTCTGATAAGACTTGAGAATGAGAACGAGGGGGCCCCAAGGGAGAGAGAGAGGTGAAACTCCCCGCCAAAGGCCCGCCCCACAGTGCGCAGGAGAAGACGGCTGCCGAATTCCTCCTAAACTTTTCGTGGTTCTATTGCTGACTCTTTATTAAATGGTATTTTAAAGAACGTTACTCAGACCCTTCCCGAAGTCATTAACAAGCGCAGCTAGCATTTCTCAAGCATTTACCATGTGCTTCTACACTAGATGTTCTATTTCCATCGAGCGCGTCTCACGCACTGCTTACGAGCTACGAGACGTCATTTCCCTCATCGAGCACCGTCCGGGGGGAAGCGGGGAGCCTTAAAACACTCAAGCGCGATGAACTTGAACCAAAACATTTGCCACAAAACACATCAGGAAAAGAGAACCGGAAAGGTCCAACAGAGCCGAGTCAGCTCATTCTCAAGGTCGAAATCCTGCTCTCTCCAGGGTACTTGTTCCTAATATAAGTGACTGCCATTCCCGTCTCCAGGGAGCTTATAAATCGTTCCGTCTCCATTATGCAGGATTCTGGGCGGTGAGGTTACTCCTAGAGCTCACAACACGCATTTTCAAGCCAATCTCGTATGTCCCCAAAATAGATGCTCAAAACCTCAAAAGCAGGTAAAAATAGCGAAAGAAGTCAAGTCAAGAGGAAATTCACCTCCGGTCCCCACGAGCAGCTACTTAAAAGGACAGTGCTGGAGCCCTCGCTCAGCTACGGGATGACACTTACAGGCTGTCGTTATTTTTACAACTCCTATGTTGGGGATTTAGGAGGCAGTGATTTGAAAAAAAATAGTTTCGTTTTGCACGTTAGTCTCATGCACAATCTTATTTTATATGAAATGATACTTGGCTTTTATAGGCTTTTCGACATAATTGTTTTTTAAAAATCTCAAAAGGAGATCTGCATTTACGCTGCAGCCTCCCCGCTCAGCCCCGAGGCGGTTTTATCTGGATGCTGCATCACCTCGCTCCCGTGGGGCACAGACGGGGCCCTTCATCTGAGACCGTCCCGGGGGTTTTATTAGTGAGTCCTAAGGCCACCAGGCTCCAGCAGGGCCCGCTGAGATGAATCCAAATTCAAAAGCGTTTCTGTTAGTGCCTTTTTAAGGTTCTTTTGCCTCGGTGAAATATCCCATCGCATTAAAAAGTAACAAACAATGAAAACTGTCACTCTGTGCTCGCGTCCGTCACTAATTTGGATGAAGTCTTTGACGGGCTTTCCAAATGGTTTTGTCAGGATAAGTACACCTTTGTATTTTGAACGCAGCCCTTCAAACGACTGGGCTGTTCTATACATTCCTTTAAAAATAAAAGAAGAAACAGCTTCCATCTTCCCCAAAACCGTGCCACCCCAAACTTCCCCACCGATAGTGGTTCAGAGCGAGGGCACCGACTCCCATGGGGACCCCAGCTCAGTCACTTTCCAACGGCATGGCCCAGTGCAAGTACGTCACTCTTGGCCTCATGTTCCTCGTTTGTGAGCCGGAGATAATCACAGGCATTATTGTTTGAGTGGTTCTCAGAATTAAATGAGATACTGCAAATACAGAACTTCCCACAGGGCCTGCAGCACAGGAGGCTCTCAATAAATGCAATCAGTCATAATACATAAATTAATATACACACACACACATGTCCCCCAAACACTGACCCTCCTCTTTTTTTTTAGTTAAAAAACATCTTTCTTATATATTTAGAATATTATTCTCATTGATTCCGGGTATTATATCATTTTCAGTATACTCAAATCGCTTATAGAGAATTAGAATAAAATACCACCAATACAAAAATTATACTGAAAATAAGTTTATTTCTCCCTTAAAATTAAAATCTTCAGAAAGCTTAATACTAGTTCCATGGTTGATTAGATGCCAGAAAAATTATCTTTTATAGTCCAAAAGCAATGAGAAAGAATTTATAAAACCTGTGCTCAGTGGACACAGGAATTATAAGGCTGTCTTATTAGGCACTATGGCCTTGGTCCCTGGAGCAGTGACTTATAGTGACTTATAGCGGACGCTCAAGTATTAGTCAATGCTCACTCTCGTTCAGAAACTTCTTAAGACAATTCTCTGTCCAAAGATTATGCCATTAAAACATTACTTACCACGTAGAGTTGTTTCCACATGGTTCCCCAGTCTCTCAGTGTGGATGTCATTTCTGTGATAACAGAGTCTTCAGTGGGAATAACCATTTCAAATTGTCTGTGAAATTAAAAAAGAAACACAAAGTATAGATGCAAATACCATCGACAATGGTAAATTTAAAATGCTCTGAAAGGCAAACTTGGAGAGAAAGCTGCCCGGCTACTCTGGTCCGGCAGACAGTAACCAGGATCTAATTACAGACAGGTACGAGGGATGCTCTGGGTTATGGTAACATGACCCCAAAATGACCAGCCACGTCATCCAGACCGAGTTTGGGGGTGTGGGGGAAAAGCCACAGCATACAAAGAGCTTTGCTCCAGCCGTAGCTAGAGCACCAAACAGCAACTCATTTAACCTCTCCAGGCCCCAAAGCCCACCTGTAACATGAGGTCACCAGGCCGACAGAAACAGAGACGGCTTTTGCATCCCTCAGCCTTGGAACTGATGGACTTGGTTCGAAGATGCGGATAAGGATGGCCGCGAACATCCAAACTAACTCGGTGTCATAAATAACTAGACACCGGGTACCGATTACACGCTTCCTAGATCTCGCCACCACCCCTGTCTTACTGTTTGTCAACGAGGCCACGCAAAAAAGATGAGCATTAACGCCGAGTAGTGCCAGCATGCACTGTAGAACTTATTGAAGGCTCGAGATATCACGGATGTTTGAACATCCACTGTAGAATATTCCTACAATTAGGGAGATTTATTCTTCCTATTTCTCCTCTATAAAACAGAAATTATGCTTAGAAAATATTCGTGCCAACACCTAGTAAGGCACACATAGTGGGCCTACTGCTGAGAAGATATATAAGAAGATAGGAGGGAGAAAAACAGAAGATTCAATCTGCCTTCTGTGTCCTGCCTTTGACAGACAATAACCTTTGTCTTCATCTTGAGTTTCTTTTTTCAAATTCTTTCAGTTTCTATGTAAGTTAAAATGGCTAAGTGGCTATTTCTACTGCTTCTGAAAAGAACGCTACCAGTTATATGGATGGGGACTGTTTTCTTCATTTGAGTATTTTTGTTCAAGAATGACATCTAATATGTAGAAAGTAACAACATATTAGACACTGAACCAGGCTGTCTAGATGATTGAGAGAAAATTACTTCTTAGCATGAGGCTAATAACTGCTCTGCAGTTCCTTTTTGATAGTATGTCCAAAAAGAGTGTCGTCTTTTGTAAACTCTTCTTGAAAGCAAGTGTGAGAACTAAAATCTTCCCTTGATTTCTTCACCGATATAGCCTCATCTCCTCATTTCATGCTGCTGCCAAAATGCTTGCCCTTTGAATTAACTTTTCCTCTTTCTAGAGCTTAAACATAGCTTAAAATGTAAAACTGGGATTTAAAACTAGAAATAAAAGTAAACGATAATGTATGAACTGTGACATATATGCTCTACTTAATATTTAAAAAGTGACATGATC